TGTGTGTGTGTGTGTGCGTGTGAGTGTGTGTGTGTATATTTGTATGTGTGAGTGTGTGTGTGTGTGTGTGTGTGTAAGAATTTCAGAATTACGCAAAGCAATGACGTGTGGATAATTCATACCTCTGCTGCAGCCATAACTGCGACAACAAAAGTAACGGACGTCAGTCACCACCTGTTGATGCATGTGCACGCAACAAACCGCACCAAAATAAACCTGGAACATCATGAGTGATATAGAAATGGAAAACATTCTTTAGAACAAACATTTCCGAGACAGCGGCTATATTATAGCAACAAGGAGAACACGTTTCACTGTAATACCCTACTAATACCAGTAGTGTAGGATGTGTTTTGGTTTGGGAAGGGGGGGGGGGGCATTGGTTCACATTTTACTGTTATGCATGTCGACATAATTATAGGAAATGCTTAGAGCGAAACTTGTCCTCCTTGTTGCTATATTCTTTAGAACGTTTTCAGCGGGTGCAGATTCAAAAGAAACGATAATTTTAAAAGCATTTCACACTTTTGTAGAAGTGTGGGCAAGGCTCCAAGAGTGGGCTCTGTGCGTTGACAAAGGTACATCACCCCCAAGAGTAGGCAACTCCCGCATACAGTGTTGTTTCGACAGAATTTCAAGTTGACGGCATTGTTTTGATGCAATGCTCCTCTTGCCCGAGTGATTTACAGCGTTTCTATTGCTTGTCAACGCATCACGTGTGCTTCCTTGCGCTATTTTGTACTGGCTGAAGTCCAAGATATGTCTGATAATACGCGCACATTGCATCATATGACATCAACTTGAGGAAGTTGGCTGCTCCCACGTGTCCAGAGCCGGAGAAGCATGTGGAGCCCTCCGCTCACCAAATGTGCAAGGAAGCATCACTCCACTTTGCACGTGTATCGGGGAGTCCGAATCAAGGAGCTGAAAGTAGCGCCAGGGTTCATGCCCTCTGGCCTTCTGATGGGTTATTCGACCATGGATGGTGAAATAGAAATGCGAACCTGCCTTTGAGTCACGGGTCGCATTTTTTGGCCACGACTGTACTGGTACTTCGAAGTTAGTCCTTAATTATATTCCACGCACGTCGTGCATAGAGCACTGATCAGTAGTCAACGTTCTTCTGTGTAATTCAGGTAGGACTTTTAATATGCAGGTATGTTGGTACTATACTGTCGTGTACGTGGAAATCCGCTCGCATGTCTAGCGGCCCCAGAGCACTGGCCATGCAGCCGTGGGTAAGCAGTACATGCATGACCTGATGACATTATGCGCTGCAGCGCGCTAGTCGCATCGGATCTACTTGCACTGACGGTTCTGTACGCGCTGAGTGCGCCAGCCCCGGTCTATCGACTGGATTTCCATGTCCACGACAGTACATGCACTATCAATTTGACCCGGTTTCAATAGATCTCCTGTATGTACCGTGTTTTGAATTCCCCGCGTCCTTTGGTGTGAACAACATTGCGAACAAAGTACGAATGACTGTAACCAGGTTTTATTTTATCTTATTTTTCATTTCGGCCAGTCGGCAACTATACTTCTTCTTCTTCTTCATCTTGGGGGTTAGTTAAACAAGGGGAAATAGCCATGTAGGAGCGTGAGCCCGCCGTTCGGCACCAGGACTTGCCGCTCGCTCGACTCGACTCTACTGAGTGAAGATAACCCACACCAATTAACCGTGCTTTACGCGCAGTCGCAGTACACAGGCACATAGGCTTCGGGCGCTTTCGATTGCACATTTGGGCCCAGGTTTTGAAATTCTGGAATGAACAGAACGAACGGATTGCAGCCATGTAAACGAACGACTACACATAAAAATCGTAAATGGGGATCACGTGGGATTCTGTGCACCCTCGCGCGCGCACGTGGACCTAGCATGGCGTTAACGTTGAGTGCGTCAATTCTGGAATTAGCAATTCTGAAATTAGCAATTCCGCCATTTCTTCAGAATTGACTGAATTGACTGAATTGGAATTGACGACGGAATGTGTGTAATCGAACTGTGCATCCACTGTACTGACCCTCCAGGAAATCGCGATTCCACGGATGCAACAAATTTCGCGATTTTCGCCCAAACCCGCGATTCTCAGCAAAATCCGCGATTTCCCACGTTTTTTGTTGTTTTCTGCACTATATCTCACTTTTTTATGCACTTTTCACGCAGTGCTTTCCATGATCCTGTAGGTTATTTGCACAGTACGACTCGGACTACTCCCGAGTAGATATACGACGCAACAAATTTCGTGATTTGGCCCAAATCCGCAATTTTCTGTGAATAATTCCACAAATTCCTGGCAAGTTCTGCATCATTCCGCACTTTTCGTCGCAGTTTTTGTTGTTTTCTGCCGCAATTTCTTGCGCAAGTTTTCGAGAGTTTTTTCCGCAAATTCCCGCAGGGACAGACTGTAATTAATTCTAGAATTCACCGAAATGTGTGTAATCGAACGCGCCCATCGGGTTGTTGAGACTGACGCTGACAGTAGCATGAGCCATGCATACCTGTTACCGATGCCCTGCGGCCTGTTCAGGAAACGAGAACGAACGACAATACCCAAGAACTGAACAACACTGGCTAACCACTTACCCAGAATGATCACTTGAACACCATGACAAATGGGGACGATGAACAGTCGAGCGGCGAGCGCTCCTGCAGCCTGGAGTCACGGTTTGCTTGAATCCTGGACACGACTTGGAACGTCGTGGGCGGATAGGCTGTACATGTAGATCAACGCCAACGGTGTACCGGTTCTCGACGTCGTGATGGTATGTAGCAGTCGAATAGAGCCTCCGAGGCACCAGGAAACTTCAATGAAAACCTACACAGATTCTTACATAGCCTGCACCCCAACAAACTTCGACACGAAGCAGCAAAACTAACACCACCTCGCTGCCTACAACAACTCTTCTATAACAGTATAAGTACAGTCATGTATAAGCTGCCTGTAGCATGAAAACTGAAGAAAGTACAGCTAGCGCTACACTCAGCCGGCCGGCGGCAGTGCAATATTAATTAATTTTCACCACGAAGCTCCAGTGCGGAAACAGTGCTCGTTTCGCCGAGGCGAGCAGCAACAACAGCGAGGGTGGGTAGATCTACGTGTCGCGTTTCGTGGATTTAGTAATATTATAATCTATTATACACTCGGTTCCTTGTTATAATCAGGGAGTAGTAAAATACGTATCTAATACCGGTATTGACTGAGTACGAGGTTTTTATTTCCTATACTGACCAAGTACGAAGTCAATATTAGATTTATCACGACAAACAGTCCGTATTTCAAATTCCAGAACGATAACCTCATGAATCCCGGTTTTATGATGGCACAACCGTTGCACCACCACCTACTCATGCAGTGACAATGCTGCACACTAGGCACCGTTCAACTGCGCAACCCCTTATAGCAGTCAAATTATTTAAGCAGTCAATATCCCTAAGGAGTGAAATATGCAGGAATATTTGACTGCTTAGGTATGGCAAAAATCTACATGTATGTGAGTCAATACTAAGGGAGTGATAGATTTTACTACTCCCTGGTTATTATCTTATTATTATTATTATTATGCACGAGAACTCGCTCATTTCATGCATTTTGAGTTGCGATATTACTTACTTGAGAAGTACTAGTATTAGCAACTTCTGAGCTTTTTCTGAAAAATTAATATGGATGCGATTTCAGCAACTTTCATTTGTTTTGGCACCGTTGCGAATTTGCGATAAGGATTTTTTTGGCATCTTTGGGAAAGGGCTACTCGCGGGACTGTACCGTCGCGGGACTGTACCGTCGCGGGACTGTACCGTCGCGGGACTGTACCGTCGCGTCGCGGGACTGTACCGTCGCGGGACTGTACCGTCGCTGGACTGTACGGTACCCATGTACCGTCGCAGCAAATACTTGTAGATCTACGGAGTACAGTCGACTCCTGATAATGTGTAACAAACACAAGTGATCAGGAGAATTAGTTCTTTATAGGCGAAGTTCGTTATAAATAAAATTTAATGCACTCACGTCATTTAATATGCAAGCAGCCAGTCATATACTTGTATATCATGACTGGCAAGTGGCCCATGACAGACTGTACATGTACTACTAGTAATCTATGAGCACACTTGCTTTGCAGCCCTACAAGATTTGGTTCGTTATAAGCGAAAACTGTTCGCCATAAAGGGTCAATTTTGTATGGGTTCAAACAGGGGTATACAAACCGCACCCGGGTACGTAGAACTACGTATGGACAATGGTTCGCTTTTATCACGAAATTCGCTATATGTGAGTTCGTTATAAGTGGAGTCGACTGTCTTGTGCTTTAGTCTTTGACTCTTGGGATCGCACAAACCTAGCCATCATACTGTCGCACCGTGGACATGGAAATCCGGTCGCACGTCTAGCGGCCCCAGGCCAGGGCGCTGGTCATGCAGCCGTGGATAACGTGGACATGCATTATGCGCAGCAGCGCGCTGGTCGCATCGGATCAACATGACTTTGTGCACTGCACGCAGCGTTCTGCACACACTGAGCCTGAGGGCGCCGGCCCCGGTGGATTTCCATGTCCGCTACAGTCTTGAAAGTGATGACGTCAAAAACGCCCAGGGAGTAGTAAGTTGACATCAGATTTCTATTTTGGATCCACTAAGGTGTGACTTTGCTATTGCCTCAGTATGTGGGTGCATAGCAACCCACTCATGTCGTATGCATGTGTGACTTTTACTTTGCCACCAGGCGTCACCATGGTCACCTGCAGGCCTGGTCACTCCGCCAAATCAGTCAGTTTCACTGGCTACATCACCTTGCTGTGAGTAAGACCGCTTGAAATATGCTTGGATCCATACAAAAACTGGATCCAAGTGGATCCAGTTTTTGAATTTTTGAAATTGTTGCTATGCTGTGACGTAGCACTTTCAAGCCCTAGGAATGACCATGATGACGGGGGACAGATTTACCGGCCGTCTCATATCCAGAACACTCGGGCTGCAACCGTAAACACATTCCTTGCTGTAGTCTAGACCTTGCCCGACCGTGGTGAGCAACTGTAAGGCGCTCTTTCGCCAAAGAAGTATCTGAGCTGAGTTTGTGTGCGCGATCACGGCCATCGTGATACGGAGCGCTAGCGAGGCTTGCTTTTTACTTGAGTGCAGTGTTCTTTCTCCAAGCGCAGTTTCGTCTCCGTCTTTCATGAGGTGAGTTTCTATGGCCCCTCCTCCGACTGTCGTCGGCAAAGATGACTGTATGCCCTGTGTTGCATAAGTGCCGCCCTTGCTTACCGTGACATACGTTTGTGCTACCCCTATTCCTCTGTTTGCGGCGCTTCCTTCTCTGTCCTGAACCTTCTCCCAAATCTCAGACTGTCTTGTTTGGGCGGCACGTCGCTCATGCAACAACAGCATTGATCTTATCTTCGGACCTTGTTCAGGCTCTCGAACTCAATTTTGGCTATGCTTGTGTGCTCACAGAATTGGACAGGACGATTCAACACACAAGGCCACAAAATGTGATGAGATGAGGGTTCCGGTGCTCGTGGATTTAATTCGGAATGCAATTTATTTCGTCGCCGCACTGAATCCGTGGATCGTGAAGGCGAACAGGCGCTGACCGGGCTGCTGAAACTCTAGCACGTCGTTACGTGAATCGTATCGGCCGACAGAGAGAACACCGTCACGGACAGCCACGAAGCCGGGCAGCCGCGTTCCACTACAGTGAACAGCGAGCAGAGCTTTGCGGATGCGTCTCTTTTCCGGGTTTTTTTTCGGCGGATTTCGGTGAGTGTGTTTGTAATTACGTATCAATTACATACTAGTACTGCTGTTTACCATGGTTTACTAGTAAAGGCGAAGCACTGTTCCGCACAGTCCGTGGCAAGAGTTACTACAGTGCATTTCAAAACTATAGACGCGTAGGGTTTTTGAAATATTTCAAATTTGGCTGAAACTTTTTCAGAATAGTTTTCGGAATATTGCTCAGGACCGCTCCACAATTACTCCGCTCCACAATTACTCTCATATAGTTTCTAAACGATTGGATAACAGACGCCCAATTTGGAAAAATTTATGCACAAAGTGATCACAGATTTTATGTGGTATAGATGCTGGCATAACGGTTTTTGCCTAGGTACGCGTCTATAGTTTTGAAATGGACTGTAAGCGCTGCAAATGAAGAAAACCCCGAAGTGATAGCTCTGCTGCTACACGTGGTCTCCGCCTGTGCGCTTTATTTTTACATTATCACATGTCATGATATTTCAAATCTTCCACTAGGATTTCACATTGGCTGAATGAGATACCACGATGTCGAGTTCTGTATCAAGATGTACACAGCAGTGAGTAGAGGCGACGGTTTCAAATAGGACATAGGTTGCAAGCCGGAACGGTCTCAATATTCACTTTCTCTCTTGGTATTTTGATTAGAAAACGTATGTGACAGTGAGACTACGATGTTTTACTCAGCGCCAAAATTCCATCGCTCTGCGATGACCAGAAGCGCCATACCAAGCATTTGAGTTTTTGACGTGTTGCTTCCCACTGCGACTTGAGTTTTACGACTTTCGAAAAATCAACTTCTTGTCGCAGGTAAACAGCGGCTTGCCTCTCGCCAATAAAGCACCGCATGCCAATGAAAACTAATGGAAGCACACACAAGGTTTATTGTTACTCTGTACTGGCCGTCGTGGAGCGATAGCAATTACCGTATTTTCTCCAATAAGAGCCCGGGGTTCTTATTTTTTCAGTGACAGCTCTACCCGTGCTACTATTAGAGACTGGGCTATTATTGGAGACTGGGCTATTATTGGAGACTGGGCTCTTATTTTTTCAATTGTCAACTATCAAGCCAACTCCAGTCTATACAGGCATAAATTGACCATATCAAGACAGATTTTTCAACCCTAAACTCAGGAATATTGTCAAAACAGATGTTTCACAATAGCATTGGCGCCAGGAAGGAAGCAGTAGACTGAAAAGCTCCTTACAAATATGTTCTTGGCATATTGTACTGCTGTTTTATATGCAGTCAATGTACTCCTACTTGTTGCATACTCCAATTGTGACCCGTGCTACTAATAGAGACTATGCTCTTATTATTTCAAACCACCCTCACCCGGCCGGGTCATTATTGGAGACTGGGCTATTATTAGAGACCTGGGCTTTTATTAGAGAAAATACGGTACCTAATTTCAGACCCAGAGCGAATTTGACGTGCACTCTAAAACATGTCCGGTTTGGAGCCACCTCTGATTTGAACTTTTTTGAAGCGAAAAATTGGGCAACTTGGAGGCAATGGGTCAACACAAAGGAGTGGCTCAGTTCGATTGACTCTGGCCCCAGAGCAAACTTCAACATGCCAGTTTCCTTCCACAAACATATTTCGAGTAAAAAAAATCGACGCTGATGATCGGTTTGGGTCTATACAAATTTGGCTGTCAAGCCGTTCCGGTATCGAGCCGTCGCCTCTACACAGCAGTGAGTACCATACGCCCCAACATGTACGCGTAGGCTGGGTTTGGATC